AAATTTTCTGGCTGGGCGCAGTGGCTCAAGCCTGTAATCCTAGCACTTTGGGAGGCCGAGACGGGCAGATCATGAGTTCAGGAGATCGAGACCATCCTGGCTAACATGGTGAAACCCCGTCTCTACTAAAAAATACAAAAAGTTAGCTGGGCAAGGTGGTGGGTGCCTGTAGTCCCAGCTACTTGAGAGGCTGAGGCAGAAGAATGGCGTAAACCCGGGAGGAGGAGCTTGCAGTGAGCTGAGATCCGGCCGCTGCACTCCAGCCTGGGCGACAGAGGGAGACTCCATCTCAAAAAAAAAAAAAAAATTTTCTATCCTGAAGTTTAGAACAGTGGGTATTTTTTCTTTCTTTCTTTCTTTCTTTTTTTTTTTTTTTCTTGAGACAGAGTCTTGCTTTGTCGCCCAGGCTGGAGTGCAGTGTCATGATCTTGGCTCGCTACAGCCTCCGCCTCCCAGGTTCAAGCAATTCTCCTGTCCCAGTCTCCCAAGTAGTTGGGACTACAGGCGCCTGCCACCTTGGCTGGCTAATTTTTGCATTTTTAGTAGAGATGGAGTTTCACCTTGTTGGTCAGGCTGGTCTCAAATTCCTGACCACAGGTGATCCTCTCGCCTCAGCCTCCCAAAGTGCTGGGATTACAGGTGTGAGCCACCACGCCCAGCCTAGAACCATGGTTTTTTAAATGTGGTCTGCAGAACCACAGGGGTTCCGGACACTCTTTCAGAGACACTATGAAATCAAATCCATCATTATAAGAGTACTAAGATGTTGCTATTTCCATCGTGCTCAATTTGCACTGATGGTGCAAAAGCCATGACGTGTAAAATGTTCCAGTGTCTTAGCACAAATCAAGGCAGTGCACTCAACTGTTCATTGCATTTTATACCTTGCTGACATAGAGTCTTAAACAAGAAAAGAAAAATTGGTTTTACCAATTGCTTAATAAAGCAATACTAATTGTTTTTCTTAAATCTCAACCATAAAAATAGGTCTTTTTAAGATTTTGTGTGCCAAAATGTTAATTATGTATAAAGTACATTTGCTACTTATGATGATTGTCTAGAGGAATGAACACTTGTATAACTGAGTTATAAGCTGAATGAGATGCGTTTTTCATGGAATACTATTTTTACTTGATAGAATGACAAACTATAATCATTTGACTTGGGTGTTTGGCAAACGTTTTCTCAAGACTGAATGAACTGAGAGACAGTTTTTGACAATGATAAAATTCAAGCTTTCAAACTGAAAGCACAATTTTGGAAAGCTTCTGTTTGCTGTTGTGAGTTTCGTAGCTTTCCGGTATTGACACTGAGAGGAGGGGCAATATTATTTAGTATGATTTTTGGTACTGTAGAATGAAAAGTGTTTTTATTTACAAATTTCTGCATGAATGTGTTTTCTCTACATGACCAGTGTATGTTATAAAATTGAGCATGAGTAAAACATCCACTTAAAGGTCAAGAAGAAAAGATTTCAGTGTTACGAAGTATAAAATATTCATTGATATGGTTTTAGACCTAATATTGCAATCATGCTTTAAAAACCACTTGTTGAGTTTTGTGCTGTCACAGAAGAAAATCCAGAAGGCCATTATTTATCTGAGATTGGATTTTCTTCAACATACTTTTAACCTAAACATTTTGCAAGAGGTTGGACATGGAAGTGGATATGAGAATCCAACTGTCTTCTCTAGGCCAGATGTTAAAGAGATTTGCAAAAATGTAGAATAATGCCACTTCTTGACACAAATTTTTTTGAAAATATTTTTTATAAAAATGTTACTTATGTTAACATGCTATTTAAAAATTTTATAACTCACAATTTTAACTTCTAATATAATAAATATGGATAGGTATACACAAAAGCTCTTTGAGGTCCTCAGTAATTTTTTAAGAGTAAAAGGGATCCTGAGATCAAAAATTTGAGAATTCTTGGCTAAAATATATTTACCTGTATTTTCTAATAAGAGATTTTGTTACTGTTGTTAGTTTGCTTGCTTTAGCACTTCAGCTCTTAAGCTATTAAATATATGTATTATACTGGACTGTCTATAAATATCAAAAAAGGACACCACATTTTATGAAGAGTAATTAAATTTAAAAATATATGAAACTTCCCAAGTTCATTTTTGTAACTTGTACAGAACACATATCTTTCACTTTGTTTTCTTGAGCATTTTTAAGGTTGTTTATCCACCCACCACATGTGTGAATCAAACAGGTAGTATTCCTCATGTCTTTCTCCCACCTTTTTTTTTTGTGTGTATGGCCCCCACCTTTGGGTTCTCACAGCCCCTGACCCGGAACTCCAGGCTCCATAATTGTCAGGCCCATTGTTCTGGCCAGGAATGAGTGGCCCCATTTTTTAGAGTGTAGATTCCTTAAGGTGGTAGGTAGTCAATGGGCGTGTGTTGATAGATGTTCACTACCTGTGTACTGATACGACACCCAGTTTTTTGTGGGAGAGGTAAATTGGGAGAGGTACTCCTTACCCTTTATTTCTGTGATTTCTTTTTTGGCCCTCTGACTCTCAGATTACAGCTCAAGCAGTTTCCAATGGGATTTTACACTTTTATCCTAATAAGTTATTAGCAGGGATGGGAAGGGAACTCCATTTTAATTGAATAGCTGCTGCGTGCCAGGTACTAGCACGTCTTGTTTAGTTTCTCAGCAGCTGTTTGGTTTTATCTGTTTTTAAATTTATTTGATAGGAAGTGGGACAGAAGAGGGTCACAGAGGTGAAAGAGCTGAAAAACAAAACAAAAGGTGTAGCTCAAGATCATGGCAGATTCAAATCTAGTTGTTTATCTGTAAGCATCTTCTTTATCCACCGTGCAAGATTGCTTCTGTGAAAATCTGAGTCCCAATAATATTGACTATTTTATACAGTGTGATTATTGCTGTTGTGTAAATATCCAGTCAAGGGACTGACCAGTTTTGTGCACTCTTGCATCTAACTTGTATTTATATATTAATCATGGTTTTTATTGGACCTGGTCATTTCCTTAGGTCAGAGACAAGGAGTGATACGTGAAAGGGCAGTGGATTTGAAGCCAGCTGACTTTATTCTTCAAGTACCATGCTTGGTCTTGATTAGCTGTGTCATCTTACCTGAGTCACTGAACCTCTCTAGAACCCCATTTGCTAATTGGTGAAACAGGGGCAAGAATAGAAGGCCTTTTCCAGTGTCTCCTGGTTGCTGAAAACATCCAGTGAGATGGCAGTATCTGTGTGAAGGTTTTAAAAACGGGGGACTGTACTCATGGGAATTTAGTACTTGTACTTGGAAGTGTTAGTTAGAACTCTTAGATCTCGCTATCACATAAAAATTATGTAAAATATCATTAGTGGTTTTCTCCTTGCCCCTTGGCATCTGGGATTGCCTTTTAAGACTATATCTCTTTAGTATGTTGAGTCATCAAATTGCTGATATTTTACTATTTTTTACCTCCAAAAATGGCAATACCAAAAGTTACTAGTAAAATTTCAAATGTTAAAATGTATGTATATTTGTATCAATATCAAAGAGAGTATGGCAAAAGGCAAGTAAGCCTAGATTTTATTGTAGTTTTCAAAACAAACTTTTACTCTGGATTTTTTCCCCCCTCAGGCTGTCTTGAATTCCATGTGTTGATCCCTAGCAGCCTGTTAAATGTTTTGTGTTGAAGAAACACTGAAAGCAATAAAGCATCTTCCCCTATAATGGATGGGACTGATGGACTGATGTGGAGAGTTGCAAATGCTAGTCTAGTCATTTTAATTATGTTAATTGGGATACATGCACAAACACACACTTTCACAGTGGGTTATATATATGTGTGTGTGTACATACACACACAGTGGGATATTTTATATATATACACAACACATATATATACATATACACACATACACAGATTCTTTTCATTTTCTCTTGTGAATGCTTTTTTTGTGGAATACTGGCAAGAAAGTTAGGAGGTATAAAAATGAATTAGGACTTAAGAAGTTGCATTTTCTCCATTTAGAGTCATTTGTTGACAAGAGTCACAGCAGTGTTCTTATAATGTCTTCAGAAGACAGGGCTCTTTTTAAAAAGATTTTCTTTTGTTTGCTTTCTTTTTTTCTTTTTTTGCCTGGAAAATAATCTGGAGTAGATTCTAAGCATGTATTAAGTTTTTAAATTACCTATTAGTCTAGCTTTTTGGAAATTACTACATAATTTATAGAAAAACACCACAATAAATTTAATATTCCTTGTCCTTGCCCTCTGCAAATTAAAACAAAAAATGCTATGAATGTTTGTTATTTAAATGTTTAACGCTCAGAGGAAGGAATCAGAAGAATCAAGGAAAGGAAAATTAAAACCTAAGACACTAATAAAAAATAAAACAGCAACTATGAGACCTATTTATTTCCTATTTCTTTCCTTTGAAAATAAATTGTGACTCACCATTAAATCCATGCCAGTGACCCATGCATTTAATATTTTAGAGAAGATGTCACAGCTGCCTTGCATGAAGTATTTCACCTTTGGTTTCCGTTTTTGTCGAGTTTTAGCGTTTTGTGCTTTTAAACCAAACCATCTGGTTTATGTTTTCTTTCTTCAGTATCTTCCTTCTTTATTGGACTGTCTTTGCCCTGAGATTACATACATCCTAACCCAGCTGTACTGGTACACTTTATCATACCAAATACTAATTTTTCTTGCTACCCACATACCTGTCCGACTGTCTGGATAGTAAGTTTACAAATTTTTAAAAATAGGAATTTCCTAATGCCTAATGTACAAGCCCCATGAAAGGAAATCATGCCTTATCAAATTAAAAAAGGATATTTACAAGGAAAAGTTAACTAGACTTGGTTTATTATTTGAATTTGGAAAAGTCTTGCATAGCCTATAATTCTGTGACTCCATCCATTAAAAAAAATTTAGGATGTCAACACCACACAAAGCCATTTTACATTGGAATCGCAAATATTATTTAACTGTACTCTGCATTAGATGGAATTTTCTTACTTACCAATTTTTCCAGTCTCTTAGGTTCTCTGTAGGCAAGATAGGATCAGCAACTGAGTGTAGCATTTGATGATGAGGGAAATAGATTTTGCTTTCTGCTGGACTGCTCGTGTTGACCAGTGGAAAACACTGCATTAGCTTTCAAATCAAAACATATAAAGTGCTCTCTGAAATATTGATATCTCGCCAAATGCTTGAATGTTAGGTACTACAGATGTCCAGTACTCTTTGGAGCCCAGCTCTAATATGTGCTTGTATAAGTTGGATCTGATTTGGATTTGCTTAGGGTTATAGATTAGCAAGGCTTGACCAAATAGTAAATAGTATGAAACCAGCTGTGAAAAGGGAGACCGAGCAAGTGAGAGCTCCAGCCAGCAGGAAGATAGATCTTTCCCATGCTTGTTTATGACCTTTTTCTGTGAAGCTGTTGTAATAATAGCTTCTGTATTTATTGGGAAGTATTTTTAAGTTGTAATTCACATGGCTTCAAACTAATTTCTTGAAATTAGTTGGAAAACCAAAAAATATTTGAAAGCAAAACATCTGCATGTTTCCTTCTTTCAGTACCAGGGGAGGAGGCAGGAAAGCTGTTTAAGTAGGTGGTAACTTGAGGGTCTTGATTGGTGCAGGGCAAGATAACTGTCAAATGAGAAGAGATATTGAAAGGACCGTAAGGCCATACTATCTCCTCTGGGACTTGGGGGATTTGCTCCTCTAGACTTATCCTGTTCTAGGGATGGACCTGATGCATGCCAGTGCCTCTTCTACTCCATCTGTTATCCTGACACATTTCCAGCCTTGAATGGGGGCCTTTGGGTCTCCAGTCGTTCTTCATATCACTCCTTGACTTAAATCTGGTTTCACAACATTCTGTTTCTGCCCTGGGTTGTTACTTGACCCCAATGTCTGGATATTTTCTTCTTTAACAAATTGTTCCTGGGGCTCTCTGAAATTATGCTCTGGATTAATGCAGTAATAATATATCTTTCAGCAGGAAAGACCTGAGTCTCCTATACTCCATCTACTTGAATTCATCCAGTTTAGGGCCTGTAGCATCAGCTTTACCTATTTTACCAGTTTCTTTCCCTCTGTCCTAGAGAGGCATGCTCACGATCAATCATGCCTATTATCATTATCAAATAAAATAAAGCGAAAATCCGCAAAGCTCTCCCTTAAATGCGAATCCTCTTTATTAGCAATCATCCAAACGGTACCTTTATCTCCTTATCCAAACTTGTTGGAAATGGTCTGCGTTTGCTGTCTCCACTTTCCCATTCACTCTGTAATGTAGTCCACTCTGCCCTCTGTCCTCAGCACTTCTCTAGAACTGCCAGAGACCTCCTCATGGCACATTCCTCAATCCAGTTGACATTTTGAAAGATTTTGTTTTTTTGTCCTTGAGGTAGCTTTTTTGGGATTGTGGTAAAATACACGTAACATTTGCTACCTTAGCTATTTTTAAGTGTTCAGTGACATTAATTACATTCACATTGTTGTGTAACCATCATCACCATCCATCTCTAGATGTGTTTTCATCTTGCAAAACTAAAATTCTGTACCCATTAAATAATAATTCCCCATTTTCCCTCGCCCCTAGTCCCTGGTAACTACTGTTCTTCTCTACGAAGTTGATTACTCTAGCTATCTCATAGAAGCGGAATCATACAGAATTTGTCCTTTTGTGACTGGCTTAATTCACTTAGGATAATGTCTTTAAGGTTCATCTGTGTTGTAGTATGTGACAATTCATTTCTTTTTAAGACTGAATAATATTCACTATATGTATATACCGTATTTTGTTTATTCATCTGTCCATAGTCTCTTGGGTAGCGTCCACCTTTTGGCTATTGTGAACAATGCTGCTATGAAAGTGGGTATATAAATATCTGTTTAAGACCCTACTTTCAATTCTTGCACTTATATGCCCAGAAGCAAAATTGCTGGATCATGTGGTAATCCTGTGTTAATTTTCTAAAGGAATTGCTATACTGTTTTCCATAGCAGCTGAATGAACCATTTTATGTTCCCACTAACAGTGCACAAGGATGCCCGTTTCCCCACATCCTTGCTAACACTTGTTTTCCATTTGTGTGTTGTGTTTGTTCTTTTTTGTAGTAGTAGCCATCTTAATGGTTATGAGGCATTAAGGCAGCTTTTGATGATGATTCTCTGTGATACTTTGGCATACTGCTCTTGTACCTTTCTGACACCATTCCCTCCATGATTAAAAGCTTGCCCTCAAATGTTGATGTTTTATGGATTCTGTCCTGAGCCCCATGCTTTTGTCTTTCTCTGCCCTTGCCTTGCCCTGTTAGCACTTGTAACATCTCTGCCAGCATCTCTCACCACCTTGCACCTCTGTACACTGTTGTTCCTTGCACCTTTCTACCCAGATGCTTCTTGGGTTCTTCCTACTCAGTGTGTCTCTGTCAATGTGTGATAATACCATCTACCCATTACCCAACTTGTCAACCGTTAAACACTCTGTCTCATCCATTCCTAGCCAGTTAGTCACCAAAGCCCGGTAATCTTTTTTTTTTCTTGACGCTTAAATATTTCTTGACTGTTATTCCCACCAAACCTCAGGTCAGTTTTTGTCTGTGTTCCCTGCCTTCAGTCTGAGTCCCACCCACAGGGTGTGTCCTCCACTTACCCGTGAGAGGAATCCCTCTAAAATACAAGCAGCACTATGTCCCTTTTGTGGGTCTCTTAACACTTACAAGATAAGTTCATGGTGTTTAATTCGGTGGAGTGCTCTGTGATTTGACACCTCTTCTTCCGCCACTATTTGCCTTGGTCTGTATGTCACAGCAACACTCAACTGTTTGAACTCTCTGTGGATGTCTGTGGTTCTTGTCCCCTTGTTTGCGCTTAAGATCTTTCCCCTGCCTAGAATAGCTCTCTGGAATAATTTCTCTTCTCCTTTCACCTGGCTTATCCTGAATTTGAATTGCATTTTTAAAAATTTCAGCTATTTGTATACTTGCTTCTCAGTCTTTATTATATCCACATGCCACCTGATCTGTGTATATCTGATATTTATGTATATGGAATCACCTTAAAAATTGTTCACCATCATCCTAGGTAAAAATAACTTTGAAGTCACAGATTTTGTGATTCTTTTAACATACCTTGAAATAATTCCATAGCTGTGTAATAAATTTGTCTGAGTTCTATTTAACCTGTGTGTTTATCATCCCTGTGGAAATATACTACTTTCAGATGTAGTTGGCCCGCCCTTTCTTATGGGAGCTTATTCCTGGACCACCCATCCCCTCCCTCCCTATGCAGGATAAACTCACCTTCCTCTGTTCCCAAACAGTACTATCAATATCTCCATTCATTCATTTTTCTATCCATCTCGTTATCCAGTCAACCAACTAATAATTTATTAGTAACCTTCTAGTGCTAAATACTGTGGGAGGTACAACCAGGAGTAGTGCTTAACCTGTTTGTGCCTAGTGTTCCATTATTGGCACACTAAGCTCGTGGGAGTTATTTATATCCTGTTGCTCAAGGTCATTGCCAAGGTCTGATTTTTCACACAAAAAAATTGCAACCTCTGGCATAAATACTGATTTTTAATTGTCTGCCAGTTGTTTCTCCCAACTAGATTGTGTGGGCTGTTGAGAGCCAGGGCAGTGTCTTAAGTTTGTATCTTTGGCACCTGACATTTTTATTCATTTAATTAAAAGGAATATAAAAGTAAAGATGTGTTGCTTCCTTAATTTTCTCTTTCAAGTTTTACTTGTGTTTCGTAAATGATACTTCTAAACATTCATGAAGGCCAGAGTGAAAGTAAAAAAGTAAAAGTTAATATGTTCATTTTTATTTTTGAAGGCTTATGATGCATAAAAAAAAGACTGTCTTTTGTACATATTCAGTTTGCTACGCAGGAGTAGGTTTGTTCATAGGTAATCTACTATCTGCTAGAATTTGTCTAGAAAACCTTGAGTTAAATGTGTATATTTTAACCAAAACTGGTATTTGGGGTTGTGTGGATCAAACCTGGTCCAATTTTATTGATTTAAAACAATGACTGTAGTGTTAAAAGGAGCATGTACTACATTAAAATGACATAGAGAATGTGTATATATTTAGGGGAATGTTTATTCCCCTAAAAGGGAACCTGCCCTTAAAATAAATATTACATGTCGTGAGCTAAAGGGAGAAATTATGTTGCCTTAAACTAAAGTCCTTGTCTTTTGAGTTCAACACTCTTGGAAAATTGTAAGGAAAATGTAGTGATAGAATCTACTAGCATGCAGCAAAGGATTTCTGGAGATCTGGGGTCATGAGAGGCACCCTGTATAGTGAGATAAATGTCAGTGTCTGGGATTTAAGAGCCTGTTCTGAGAAAAGTAAGCCAATTTAAATATGGAGAGTGTATTCCTATAAATGCGTTAATTGAGAGGCACATATACTGCACTCAAGTTTCGCACTGTGCTGGAAACCATTGACTGTCCCGGGGGCCTTCCGCTCTTACACCTCACTCCAGTTTAGAGTGGAGCAACAGCAGCATAAGGTATGCATTTTAATATGGCTTAGATGGTGTTCATTTCCAAACACACCATCTGTTCTCCCACTTCTGGCCTTCGTTAGGCTGCTTCCTAAGCCTGGCTTGGGCCCTCTTAAATTTCAACTTTTGTAGAGCTTTCCTTTATGTTCTTCCTGAGAATGAATGGTTTTCCTCTCTCTGAATTCCTATAGTGCTTAATTTAATTCTACTTCGGACACCCCTCAGGCTTTGTACTGTATCACAGATGGTGATGGCTGTGTCTTCTGGTTTTTTCTTTTTTTGCAAGGGGGATGGGGGGGTATGTTGCTGATGTTGCCCCAGTCTCGTTCATGGAGTCATTTGGCCTGTCTGGGGAATGGGGTGGGACAGGTGACTTTTTTGCAACCTCTCTCATCCATATTGCCAGGCTGTCCAGGATGACTTTCTGGGCTTGAAACATCATCCTTTTGCTGAGAGCAATTCATGGACACCTGACTCCTAAGACTTAGCTCCGCTGAAAAAAGTCTTTCAAATCCAAGAAGGTGATTTAATTTAATCAGTGGGGACCTCCACTACTTTTTTTTCTTCTTCTAGTCCAAGAAATGGATATGTTTGATATACCTTCTTTTTGTTTTGATTTTTTCTTTTTTTTTTTTGTTAAACTTTTAAGATTTATTAAAGTTAAGCATTTGTGTACTTTAAGAAACAATTTTTAAAAACTTATGAAAAAATCGAAGTCCATACCCTTTTCTTATGCCCTAGTAGCCACCTTTTTCCTTTTAGCTATTTCCTTTCAGCCATCTCTTTTTCCTTTTAGCTATTTTTAGGTATTAGTGCCTATATTTCT